GTTTTCCTGGCACTATAGTGGTCCTTTAAAGGACCACTATAGGCACCCAGACCACTTCAGCTCAATGAAGTGGTCTGGGTGCCAGGTCCATCTAGGGTTATCCCTGCCTGCTGTAAACATAGCAGTTTCAGAGAAACTGCTATGTTTACTTATGGGTTAATCCAGCCTCTAGTGGCTGTCTCATTGACAGCTGCTAGAGGCGTTTCCGCGCTTCTCACTGTGATTTTCACAGTGAAAAGACGCCAGCGTCCATAGGAAAGCATTGAGAATACTTTCCTATGGACTGACTGAATGCGCGCGCGCATACACATTCAGCCGATGACGTCGGAAGGTGGAGGAGAGTACCCAGCGCCGAGGGAGCCCGGAGCTGGAGAAAGGTGAGTGTTTAACCCCCTTCCTCCCCTTTCAGCCCGGCAGGAGTGGGACCCTGAGGGCATTATAATGACAGTAAAACGAGTTTGTTTTCCTGACACTATAGTGGTCCTTTAATCGATTTTAGTATTTCTTCTTTACCTTCCATTTACTACGTACTGTCTGTCAGTTTTTTGGTCTTTATTTTTCCAATGCACATATACAGATGTTTATTCATTAAAACTAAATTGTAGTCAGTTGAAATTCAAATTAAAAAATTCAGCTCAGCCCTGCCCTTGGCAGACAGGCAAACCTGATTGGCTGCTGTGCATGGCATCCTTTGACCTTGGTGCCCATGTGCACTATAATGCTATTTTTAAGGAAATAACATTTTTTATTTTGAGTTCCGAATAAGGTACAGAAAGAAGTGATGCAGGTAAACTCAAAGGTCTCCGCAGCTTCACCACGTTGACACATTAGATAACATTGTAACAGAATGACATGTCAATCTAGAGTGTGACATTATGTTGATGCTCTTGTAACACAATACATCGACTTTATTCTCTAGCCGGTAGCTTGGGAAGCGGGTACAGGAGCTGCTATCTAGGGATGCGAACTGGTGACACCGGAATGTTCAGCTGCATTGTCAATGCGGGGGTCAACATGCCCAGTGCATTATGAAGGGCCGCGGCCAACATGCGGAACATGCCGTCAAGGTTGGGTATGATCTATGAACACCCTGCCGGGTATCGTCCAGTGCTCCTGACTCAGTCTCTGTTGTCTGCTGCCATATCCTTTAGGTCACCATTCTCCCGTGGCATAGATCACCTGTCCCATGACTTGTAATGCTAATTTTATCATAGCTATGCCTACTCACCTTCCACCCCATCACAGACCTTGTAGAGGCCAGTGGGGCTTGAGCCACACTCGAAGATGGTGGGAAGAGGCAAAGGCGACACAACCCCTGCCAGGCAATATTAACTGTTTATTCCCTACACAGATTTGGGGAAGAAGTAGGCTACTTGTCAAACATTTCTTCTCTAGTTGTATATAGATCCCATTCTCAGCAGTGCTCCATTCGCAGGAAATAGGGGGTGAGTGGTGATCTTATTCATAAACTCATATTTAACAGTCATTTAACCCATTCACTTTTTGACTGACAAAAATATTAGCAGAACATGTATTTGAAGGAATGGAAGCATAGTTGGCATACAAAGATATCATAACACAGCAATGTTCTGTATATACATTAAATAAAAACTTTTAAGGATCAATGGCCCTGTAATTAAAACCCAGTTCAGTCAATAAATCACCCAAGTGCAATGTCACTTTCACCCTTAATGCATACATAGATCAAACAGGAAACAAGGTGATTGCGCTCACAATTAAAACCTATATAATATGAATGATAAAAATATCATGGTATAGTATGTAAACACAAATCAGAATGGTGAGAATTAAAGAGCCAGTTAAACGTTGTACAGACATTTCATCAATGAGGGAATACCTGGACAGTCTAGAGCCAACTTCTAACTGGCTCTTTAATTTGTGAGTGTTCCAATTTATCTCAACATTCTGATTTGTTTTTGCATGCTATACCATGATTAATGTCAAAATTAAAAATTTCACAATCTTAATGTTTCACTTATTCGTTCGGCCATTATAAAAATATTTGGTGAATGAAAGCTTTAGAAAGTATACAGTGTCCTTTATCTTGCAACATTTCACTCAGGTCTAAAATGTTAGTATAATGGTAAAAATGCAACTTTTCTTACATGCAATAGATGTGCCAAAAATAGAAATAAATTGTAAATACCTTGCTTATAGGTATTTGTGAGTACTCTGAAGAACATTGCTAACAGTACGGCTTGCTAAAAATTGCAGCAGAATGTAAAAAGAATGTCTGCATTTGAGCATAACACACAAGTCTAGAAAAACTGTTAAATCATATATTTCTGGGGCGGGGCCTGACCAGCATGGCTGCCAGACGTGCAGAGTATGAGCTCCTCAAAAAACTCTGGAAAATCGTGCTCTAATGATGGGATACTACCCACAGACACTACTCAAACGCCTACTTACCTGCTCCTGTACAGAGTGAGGACTCTCTGGGAAAGTTCGAAGCACCCCTTTACCTTTTGTGACATGAACCCACATCGGGGCCTACAAGCCTGCACAAGCATCCGACATACTCGACGTCTCGGTGGCCTGCCAAAGCACCTGAGGTGAGGGAGACAGCCGATCCCTTACCCAAGCTTCACTCACACTTGGACCAAGGTCCTGTTCCCCCCCCCTCTGGGCCGGCGGGGGATATCCCGGCCCCCACTGGTGGAACCTAGCGGCCTTGTCGGTGTGGCAATACTCTTCTACAGAGGTCGGGAGGGTCGAGGCCTACCTACTAAAATGGCCGCCAAGCCAGGACCCGCTGCTTCACCGAACCCTTCACAGCCTCCTCACCCTGTCGACCCATTGCTGGCGGCTTTTGACCGGCTGTGTGCTCAGTTCTGGGCAAAACTCTGTGACCGCAAGCTACACACCACTCATGCATCAGACCCGCCCAAGTATACTCACCGCCGCAACGCTGAGGGGACTCCCCCAAATCGTGTCCACAAACGGAGGCGTAGGAGGATCCCATGACCATCCCAGGAGCCCCGGCGAGCAGGCACTCCAGCTGGTTGCAATCTGCCGGCACCACGAACCACCAAGGGACTTCCCCCCAGGCAAAACCTGCATAGCCGTCAAGCTCCCACTTCACACCGCTGGCAGCCTAACGAGGAAAGTACCCCATCGATTTACCCAGCAGGCAGACGTGGCCGGACTGTAGCAAACACAGCACCTGAGTATGAGGAGGCACGGAGCCGGCGGATCGGCCTGCTACTCTTAACCAGACTCCAGCTTGTCAAGGACAGGGCCTCTCCCTCTGCAGGCATCGGCTGATTAGGCCGCAGACCATTCTACAGCAAAGCTCATGAGCATATTATGTTCCTACACACAGTTAAACATGTTTTTACTATCTAGTTTCTGCAGTTCCTGTATATGCTATGCTGTAGGCTACTTAATATATCCCAGTGGTAATTTTACCTTGTTATCCTAGCCATGTAAACAACATGTAATCTACTTTATTAACCCTGATTCCATCAACAATGATATTTCTATTAACTAAGCCTGTACCAGACTCATGTACCTAAGAAATGCATGTCCACATCTTATTAGCCCAACACAAATGTCCTGCTATGCTTTTCAAGATTATAATGTTCACAAGCTTGTTCTCTTTTCCACTACTAAACTATGAAAAATGTGCAATCCTCACTAATACCATGTTACTGATACCCTATATTTGTTTTACCATACTTGAAAGAGCTGTTGTGGCATATGAAGCTTGACTGTTCACATTTGCACAAAAAATAAAGAATTATAAAAAAAAATCATATATTTCTAAATTAAAGATATTTAAAACAGCTGTTGCAATCTTAATCAATCTCTGGAATGCTAAAGTAATGCTAAATAGTCAATTCACTCCTCCCCCTCTTACTGTAGGAATTATATGACTCTTTGAAACTTTCTGCTGTGCTGTTTGAAAGCGGAGTAGGAGGGGGTGAGCTTGCATTTTGAGCAAATTTACAGGCTTTATATCAGTGACTAATGGCTTCTGGCAGATAAATTTAATGCTTTACAGGCTGGTAATCATAACTAGAGTATAATTGAGGGTAAATAAGGCTTTATGGACTAGATTTCATTCTGCAAAATACATGAACATCAAAATGTTTCTTGGTTTAGATAGTGACATGGTTATCAAAGGTTTAACAACCATAGATTGACTGATACTGACATAAAATTTAACATACCAGACAGTCACAGAGTGTATTGTAAATCATTAAGGATACATGGAGCAACGGATAAGAACAATTTCCTCAAATTGAAGCACTGAATGGGTAAAGTTGCAGCTAGGGGTAATGGTTATGTTTATACAAGTGGAAAACATGAAATGGTCCGACTTGGTGGACTGAGAGGTAATAGTACCGGAATTGAGTAATGAAGTGTCAGAGAAGGAATTTTGGAAAGGTGTGAGAGAGGACAGGTTGATGTGGATGCATGTTAAAATATATGAGTGTGTGTGCGTAACACAATCCAAATGCTTGTAAATAGAAGAGGAAAAATATAATTTGGAAACTGGTATGTTCCATTGGGTAATAAATATAAAAGAAACAAATTAAAACCAATGTGGCTTAGTAGAGAAGTAAAACAAGAGACTAAAATAAGAATAGCATTTAAATCAGACAAATCAGATGCATCCTATAAAAGATATAAGGAAGCAAATAATGCGTGCAAAAAGATGATTGGATTTGCAAAATAAAAAAATGATAGCCAAAGAGAGCAAAACCAACCCAAGGCATTTTTTTAAGTACATAAATTCTAAAAAAAACAAAAAATGCAAGTGTAGGTACACTAAAAATTTAAATGGGGGTGTTAGTTAAAGGAACACTATAGTCACCTAAATTACATTAGCTAAATAAAGCAGTTTAAGTGTATAGATCATTCCCCTGCAATTTCACTGCTCAATTCACTGCCATTTAGGAGTTAAATCACTTTGTTTCTGTTTATGCAGCCCTAGCCACACCTCCCCTGGCTATGCTTGACAGAGCCTGCATGAAAAAAAAAAACTGGTTTCACTTTCAAACAGATGTAATTTACCTTAAATAATTGTATCTCAATCTCTAAATTGAACTTTAATCACATACAGGAGGCTCTTGCATGGTCTAGCAAGCTATTAACATAGCAGGGGATAAGAAAATCTTAATTAAACAGAACTTGCAATAAAGAAAGCCTAAATAGGGCTCTCTTTACAGGAAGTGTTTAGGGAAGGCTGTGCAAGTCACATGCAGGGAGGTGTGACTAGGGTTCACAAACAAAGGGATTTAGCTCCTAAATGGCAGAGGATTGAGCAGTGAGGCTGCAGGGGCATGTTCTATACACCAAAACTGCTTCATTAAGTTGTTCAGGTGACTATAGTGCCCCTTTAATGGAGACCAGGAAAAGGCAGGAATTTTAAATAACTATTTCTCCTCCGTATATATTAAGGAAGAACCCATGGCAATTGATGTGCAAATGATTGCTACTAAAAACTTGCAGAATAATTGTAATTGGTTAACTCAAGACAAGGTGCTGGAGCAACTAAAGAAAGTTAATATAAACAAAGCTCCAGGGCCTGACGGTATCCATCCATGAGTACTTAAGAAACTAAGTGTAGAAATAAGTGAACCTCTGTTTTTAATCTTTCAAGATTCTTTTCTTTCAGGAAGTGTTCCGGAGGATTGGAGGAAGGCAGATGTGGTTCCTATATTCAAAAAGGGTTCAAAATCCTTGCCTGGAAATTATATACCTGTGAGCTTAACTTCTGTGGCTGGGAAAATATTTGAAAGGTTATTATGGGATAATATTCAAGAATTACTTGAGAAGAACATGGTTATCAGCAAATATCAGCACGGTTTTATGAATCACAGGTCATGTCAAACTAACTTGATTGTGCTCTACGAAGAAGTATAGATCAGGGTGTTGCAGTGGATGTGATCTATTTGGATTTTGCCAAGGCATTTGATACAGTTCCACACAATAGATTAGTGTTTAAACTCAAGAAAATCGGTGTCAGGTATAGCATGGCATGTAATTCATCGCCGGAACCCACTTCCGGGTTCACGGCGCTCAGCCCCGCCCCTTTCTCTGACGCGGTCCCTCCACGATACTTAGGAGGACCGCGCCAGATTCAAAGGGCTGGATTATTCGCACAGGTGCTGCATGAAGATCAGCTGCTCTACTTCTGATCCTACCTGCTCCACTTCTATACCTCGGCTAATAAACGGATTTCTACCTTCTCCACTTCTCGACCTCGGCTTGTAAACGGATTTCTACCTTCTCCACTTCTCGACCTCGGCTTGTAAACGGATTTCTACCTTCTCCACCCTAGACCTCGGCTTGTAACTCTGAATTCTACCTTCTCCACTCCCAGACCTCGGCTTGTTAAAACGGACTTCCCCACTCTCCACTCCTAGTTCTCAGCTTGTTGAAACGGACTTCTAATTTCTCCTTCATTGGGTGAATTAACCCTTCCAGTGCCAGAACTGCCTTTAAGTTAAGTAATACTTTTACCAAACAAGTCAATTACTATTATTTATATTACACAGTATCTAAAACTCACTAAAGTGTCACTTTGTCTAATTATTCCTCTTACTCATAAGGGATTGCTACAAAGCCTAATTTTACCTACATGGATATTTAAAGGTACAGTGACCATAGTTTCATACCAATATAAAAGGAGGTGAACCTTATTGTTGTTGCAACCAAGAAATGCTGCAGTTGAGTTCCAATTAAAGAAATATTACAAAATAAGTATTACAGAATAATCCAGCCAATATTCAATGGAACCAGCAGATATTAACTCTCAAGTTTCTGCCCTAACCAATAGAGTGGATACGATTGCTCAAGGGTTACAGGAACTGCAAATTACAAATGAGAGAATATTAACCTATGTTAGAGACATTCAAGGTCATCTTCCTCATGCCGCTCTTCAATCGGCTGGTGATCCTGCTGTCTGTAATCCAGAAAAATTTTATGGAGATAGAACAAAGTACAGAGAGTTTTTGAATTCTTGCAAACTACTAATAGCTTTAAAACCTAGATCTTATCCCACCGAAAGATCCAAAGTCTGTTCAGTGATCTCTTTTTTAAGAGGTGAACCTATGGAATGGGCCCATTCCTTTTTGGAAAATGATGATCCCATATTGGATTCATTGGATGAGTTCTTTGAAGCTATGTCTTTATTATATGAAGATCCTTTTAAACAAACTACTGCTGATTTAACCATCAGAACATTACACCAAAAGAATAGACCTGTTGAAGATTATATTGCAGAATTCAAAAGATGGGCTACAGAAACCCAATGGAATGACATTACTTTACGCAATCAATTCCGTCTCGGATTATCTGAAGCTGTGAAAGATGAACTCTCTCGTACAGAACTTCCTCCTACCTTAAATGCATTGATTCAACTGTCTATCAGTATTGATAGACGTCTAAGAGAAAGAAAAGCTGAAAGGGTTCTTACTAATTCTACCTGGAGAAAACCTTTCACTACTCTAAAACTACCTGAAAAATTCCTCCACAAACTGAACCTATGGAAGTAGGTATAATAAAAAGTCCTCTTACTTCTGAAGAAAGAATAAGAAGGAGACAACTAAACTTATGTATGTATTGTGCTTCGAATGAACATCTAATTTCCGAATGTCCTCTACTGAAACATTCAAAAGGTGGTAAGCTTCATTCATCTACCTCTATATTGAACGTTTTTCAAAAAAAGAAAAGCATCTACTTATTTTTCTATATCTCTCATATTACAGTGGGATACAAAAAGAATCGTGACTGAGGCCATCATTGATTCTGGTGCTAATGGAACTTTTCTTGATTTTTCTTTTGTTTCAAAAAATAAAATTCCTTGTGTTCAAAAAACCAATTTTATTCCAATCAGAGTTATTGACGGTTCATTTATATCCTCAGGACCCATCAAAGATGAAACAATCCCTCTAAGAATGATTACCAACAACGTACATTTCGAATTCATTACATTTGATATTATTAAATCTCCACTTTATCCCGTCATTCTAGGAATTAATTGGTTAAAAAACCATGATCCTTTAATTAAGTGGTCTCCCTTCTCCATCTCCTTTGCTTCTGATTTCTGTAAAAAAACGTGCTTACAACACATTCCTATTCTCCAAACTACTGTAGAACCAGTTATACCTCCATTCTACTCCGATTTTGCAGATGTCTTTTGTAAAAAAGAAGCGGAAACACTTCCTCCTCATCGGGTATATGATTGCCCAATAGATCTCATACCCGAGCTCCTATTCCTTATGGTCATATTTATCCACTCTCTGAAAAGGAGTTAGAAATTTTAAAAGAATATCTTAATGAAAATTTACGCAAAGGGTTCATCAGACCCTCGACCTCCCCAGCTGCTTCTAGTATTTTCTTTGTGAAGAATAAAGACCAAACCATCCGTCCTATTATAGATTACAGAGCCTTAAATAAAATAACTATTAAAAATCGTTATCCTCTTCCACTAATAAATGAATTAATTGAAAGGTTAAGAACTGCAACTATATTCACTAAACTCGACCTTCGAGGCGCATATAACCTCATTAGAATAAAACAGGATGATGAATGGAAAACCGCCTTCCGGACAAGATATGGTCTCTACGAATATCTAGTGATGCCTTTCGGGCTCTGTAATGCCCCTGCAACATTTCAACATTTTATCAATGATATCTTTAGAGATCTTCTGGATGTATGTGTTATTATCTACTTAGATGATATCTTAATATATTCTAACAATTTGGATGAACATAGGAAACATGTTAGATGGGTTCTATCTAGACTGAGAACTCATAAATTATACGCTAAACCAGAAAAATGCCTTTTTGAGGTTACTGAATTCTCTTTTCTAGGATACATTATTTCACCTCATTCTTTGAAGATGGATAATTCCAAAATCAAATGTATTATTGATTGGCCTGCTCCTACTACTACAAAAGAATTACAACGCTTTCTTGGATTTGCAAACTTCTATAGAAAATTTATTAGAAACTATTCGGATGTATCACATCCTCTTAACCTCCTCAACAGTAGTAAACGTCCTTTTAATTGGAATAAAGATGCTCAAACAGCCTTCGACGAATTAAAAAAAAAAGATTTACAACTGCACCTATTCTACAACTACCTAATCCAACATTCCTATATGTTCTTGAAGTTGATGCATCAGATGCAGCCATCGGAGCAGTTCTTTCTCAACAAAAGACTCCACAAGATCCACTTCATCCAGTTGCCTTTTTTTCAAGATCCTTGAGCTCTGCTGAAAAAAATTATCCTATTGGTGAAAAAGAATTATTAAGTGTTAAAGCTGCCTTCGAAAATTGGCGTCATCTTCTGGAAGATACAAAACAACCTATAATAGTTTATACTGACCATAAAAATCTTGAATATCTCTATACTAACAAAACCCTTACAGCTAGACAAGTTAGATGGAACCTATTCTTTAACCGATTTAACTTCCAATTAATATACAGACCTGGAAATAGAAATAAAAGGCTGACGCTCTTTCTCGAATTCCTTCTAAAACTACTACTGATGATTATCCTTCTACCAAAATAATAGGAATCCTCTCTTCTCTTCATGATGACATAAAGAATTTGAATCAGAAGGATCTTGAACTTCCCAAAACACCTATACTAACAAAAAGGATGGTCTATTTTATTTTAAAAATAGAATTTATATTCCTCCCATTCTTAGGAATAAATTACTTAAGATGGTTCATGATTCCCCCCTAGCTGGACATCCTGGAATAAAGAAAACACTTGAACTAACTTCACGATATTATTGGTGGCCTCGCCAGGATAGAACCATTGCATTATATGTCAAAACATGTCCTATCTGTCAAAGGTCTAAACCAGAACATAATCAACCTTTTGGATTACTACTTAACTTACCTATTCCAGAAAAACCTTGGCAATCCATTTCTATGGATTTTATCGTTGATCTTCCACCTTCTCAACATTTCACCACTATTCTTGTCGTTGTGGATCGCTTCACAAAAATGTCCCATTTCATTTCTTTAAAAAAATTACCCTCCTCTGTAGAATTGTCTAAGGTCTTTATTGACAATATTGTGAAACTTCATGGTCTTCCTGAAGAAATTATTTCTGATAGGGGACACAATTTACCTCCAAATTCTGGAAAGAGATGTGTCTCTCCCTTCAAATTCAACGCAAACTCTCTTCCGCTTATCATCCCCAAACTAATGGGCAAACAGAAAGGGTTAATCAATGTTTGGAACAATATCTTTGATGTTATTGTTCATACCTCCAAGATGACTGGACCACATGGTTACCTATGGCCGAATTTTCTTACAATAATA